TGTTTCTTGTATTGCATTGTATTGCCGGCCTCTATGGAGTTATATGAGGTGAAACGCTTCATAAATAAGTGAATTTATCTTTAAAGGGATAAGAGCGGAATTAATGAGTTTGTTGAACACTCACGCACGCACACACACACACACACACACACACACATACATACGACCCACACTCACACGACACACACAAAGACAAACACACATTTATCAGACAAACAAACACACACGCATACATTCTTGTATGAATAATACATATATACAAACATACACATGTATAATATGAATCAATTTTACACACACACACACACGCATACACACACACACACACACACACACACGCACACACACGCATCTATGGAGCTTGGTAATTCTAATTAAATTAAGGTTGCATAATTGAGAATTAACCTTGGCGATGTCATTAATTTAATTCCTACCCACAGCTCCAACAATGCGTTACTCTATCTATACTATCACAACTGTTAGTATTAGCGTTATAAACATTACTAATATGATAACTAATACTGCCAGTCACGTGGCTTGTCTGACTTTTTGAAGTTACTACTACAACTACAATTACGATTACTACATTTCTTACTTAACAGATTTAGCATCATGGAGGGCTCGCATTTTATTATGAATTAGGCTACATATTTCATTTGTTTTGTTTTTTTTTTATTTATTTATTTTTTGTTTGTTTGTTTGTTTATATAAATATATATGTATTTATTTATTTATTTATTTAAGTAATTAATCATTTACATATTCTTTTCACTCGTTCAGCTTTCCATTCATTCATTCATTCACACATCCGCTCTTTTATTCCTCCTTTACTCACTCATCCACTCGTTCAAAATGATGGATGGAAAATTCACTGACAAGGAGGATCTCGGCGTACACCAGAGCAGAATGGAATCTCCAATTATAATAAGGTTTTGGGATTAGTGGATGGCGATGGTACTGATGATGACGACGACGATGATGATGATGACGAAGACGATGATGATGACGACGACGATGATACTGATGATGGTGGTTATGATAATGCGACAACGACGATGATGATAATTACAAATATAATGATGATGATAATGATGATGATAAAGATAATGATGATGATAATGATGATTATGATAACCAGGACTATGATGATGATGACGATGATGACGACGATGGTACTGAAGATGATGGCTATGATAATGCGACGACGACGTTGATAATTGCAATGATAATGATGATGATGATGATGACCATGACGATGATGATGATGATGACGACGATGATGATGATGATGTAATAGTGGTCATAGTAATGATGGCAGGGAAAATGATGAATTGCTATTAAAACAGATGTTTGCACGGAAAAAGGCCAAAAAAAATTATGATGATGACGATAACGATGATGATGAGAAAGATGACGACCATGATGATAATGATGATGATGAGGAAGATGATTATGACGATGATGATGATGACTGTAATTATAATAATGGCGACGTCCATATTTTTAAATTATGGAAAAAATAATAATTTCATTAAGGATCGGAAAACTTTCCCGCTGACATCATTGGTTTACTTCCTTTATTTTTTTTCATTCATTCATTCATTAATTAATTTATTCATTCATTCATTCAGCCAGTGCATTTTCAATTATTGGATGGGTGGAAGAGAGATTTCATTCGTTTATTCGTGCTGTAGTTTACGTGTATTTATTTTTTTATTCAGTGATTCTGTTTCATGACTCGTTCATTTATTTATTCATTCATACATATTAACATTTTTTCATTCTTTCTTTCATTCATTCATTCATAAATTTGAAGACCGATGTGATGAATGAATGAAGTGAAAGAATAAAGCCACTGATAGGAAAAACATTTTGAAAAAATTGTTAGTAAAATCTAGTGGAGATTTTCAGAATTTTTCACAGGTTGAATCTTAGGGTATCAATCAATCAATCAATCAATCAACCATTCGGTAATTTCTTATATGGTGTTCTTCATTTTACATTCATTCATTCATTCAATCGTTCATTCTAATCCTGCATTCTTTTTTTTCATGTTTTAATAATTAAAAAAATTCCTTGAACACATCCATATAGCCAATTTCAAAGGGAAAAAAACTAAATAACCCAAAAAATTGAATTCCCGGAAGAATTTATACAGCGCTCAATGGCTGAAACCAATTAATAATTCACATCATTTCCGCTTTAATGGCGTCATCAGTCTACGTATGCCGTGACGTCATCCAATGAAATGGGCGATATTTTAAGAGGAAATTTGTTCAAGTTTTTGCGGCGGCTAACACGAAATAGTGAAGTCCATTAAATTGTTCTTCAATTTGGCTGCTTTTATTATAGCTATTATTTCATAAGTTAATTTTTTTCCGTTGTTATTTCTTTGTGAATTGTTCCGAGTTTATTGTCCATTGGTTCTTTAAATCAATAAAGTGAAAGCAACAAAGCTCATAACACTATCGTTTTAATAAGGTTTCTATGCTAATATCAACCAAATTTAACTTCTGCAATTTTTTTTTAAATATAAAAATCTCAAGTTTATTTATTTATTCAATAATTCATCCATTCACTCATTCATCCATTTATTCATTCAGTCATTCACTCATTCAGTCATTCACTCATTCAGTCATTCATTTTTCTATCCCATCATTCTAACAATTTATTTAAAATTTATTCATTTATTCATGTTTTAAAAAAATTCAACAAAAAAATTTATATAGCAACGTCTCATTTGAACCTCCGGGGATTCCGTGCGTAACATTTCATTGTCACAATCATGCATGCAAACACTTACATACATACAAACAAACATACATACATACATACATACATACATACAAACAAACGTACATACATACAAACAAACATACACACATACATACACACTCATACATACATAAAAACAAACATACACACATACATACATGCATACATACATACATACATACAAACAAACATACATACACAATGACAAACATCACGTCACTAAAACCACGTACACACATACATACATGCAACAAACATACATTTACACGAGCGAGTATTCGCAATTACAACCCATAGTATTCCGTTGTGAAGTTTGAGTAACGAAGTATTGAAAGACCGTACTTGTAAAGTACTTTTACTTCTTAACGAAGTAACAGTAGATATGAGTTTGTCTACTTGTTGCAAATAGACAAAAATTTAATGTATTTCAAAGTATTATTTTCGGTTTTACTTTTACTTCGCAACCTCTCAGCCATCATTCAACATAAGTATCAGTACTACAAGTACAAACATCGCGTGACCGCTCTTTCCCACCATGTGTGAAGTTTCAAAATGCTGATAGAATTAGCGATACTAATAAAGTATTTTTGAAAATATGC